TTGGATGAAAAGGCGCCACGAGGTGGCGCTGTTCGTGCTTCGCGCGTATATCCGGGCTGCAGATCGTCGAGGATCGGATCGAGGGAAGAGAATCTCGATCCGATTCGATTTCGGTGGATCGTTACAGCCCTAATAGTTATGGGCAGTAGACCACCAATGGCACCATTTAACCAAGACCATTGACTGTAGAACTGGAAGGACGTGAGCAAACCATTGGCAATTGACTCAAAGGTGTAAAGACAATGAATTATGTAGTTGGATAATGTTCTTGTAAAGTGTTTTACATTTTTTTTTTTCAGGTGACTTATAAATGGCTCAGCAGGCGGTTAAATGTTCATGTTAACCAAGCCAAACAGTAAGTATGTGTGCGACATTTACTGAAACTTTGTTGTGATAAGGCCAAAATGTTAATAATAAGTTTGATGAATACTAAGACATATATGGCCCTATAGTACAGTGTGGTATTAGAGAGTTGAAGTGGTGATCACTTATAGATATTTGGTGATGTAAATTGTTCTTGTTTTAGGATGTTATATACCTTTGTACAGCACGAGAGAAATACAAAACATAATGACAACTTGGAAGTAATATATATGGTCTCTGGATTAGCCAAGTCACAAACTGGAGAAATAAGGGTATGTGATGTAATTTATATATTTTCTGGCTTTTTCCCTGTATATTTATCAGTACTGCCATTTTTCATTATTGATATGTACTACTAACATATCTTTACCATGCTTCTGTGTATTCTAAATTTGTATGTGCAGGTACAAAAGGTTGTGATCACACCAGAGGAGCAACTAGATTTGGTGGAGAGCTCAGTTGATCATGTGAATGGTGTGCACATGTTCAGTGTGCAAAAATCCAAACTAAAGGTACAATCTACATTATAACATTAGACATGATAAATATACATTTCTATTAAACGTAATTTTCTTTCTTTTTTAATGTTTAACAAGCATGTGCTTGTGTGACTTGCAGTATGATTTCAAGATTTTCCCACTGTGTAATGTCTGTTTTTATTATTGTTTATGTACAGGATCTAAATACTCTATATTTGGTTGACTACAATGAGAAAAAGAAGAGTATATATGAATCTGAAAAGTATGTACACCTATATATGTATATTTATAGTAAGATTTGTGGAAATCTTTGCAATAAGGACTGCATGAAATGATTAGAATTGAGAATTTAAAGATGGTGATCCTAATTAGAACATTGTTTACCGTTTCAGACACAGTGCTATATCGTGTATAGCCGCAAGACAAAAACTAGATGTTCCGACCCCAGAGCAGCCGCAGTCTGTACAAGGGCAAGCACCAGTGTCAAAGCAGGTACAAGCGATTAAGATATAAGCGTGCATGTTTGTGGTAATCAGCTCTTTATCACAATCCATCAGTGACCTCAGAAGCTGTACCGTGGTTTATTAGCAGAATCAAGCATCACGACTTATCTTGCCCCAATCACACAAATAGATTAGGGGATAGTGAACGTTTTATTTACAATAATTAAGCCTTGCACACTGTTGTTTTACTCAATCCCAATATATACATGTGTTTTTATACTGAAATTTTTTTATTCTTAGTTGGCTTCTGTTTTATATTTTTAAGTCACAAGTTCAAGTGCTGCCTTTAAAATCATGGCATAAATAACTACAATTGTAAAATTATTTTATTTTTACACAACTATCGATTTCAGACGGAGCAAAATGGAACACATCAGGCAAGGCAGTCTACAGTTAAGTCTTCACATCAGAAGAACGCTGCTAAGAAGGGAATCGTGAGCATGTTCGCAAATCACAAAGCCGCTAGTAAAGATACAGGGAAAAAGGATGACATCAAGAAGGAAGACGAGCAAGAAGGGAAACAGAAACTAGTCCAAGCAGAAAAGGGGTCACAAAAGAATGTTAATGGACAGAAAAAGGATAAGGCAAAGATTGGAAACCTGATGGCCTGCTTTGGAAAGCAAGCAGGTTTGTTTTTGCATTTTACATGGTTAAGAAAATGTGCTTACTCTGAGTTGTTTCCACATGCAGTCATAACCTGCATAAATTGTGAGCAAGAAAGATAGATATGGGTTTGATAGGTATAATAATTCAGAAGTTTTAATTTATACTATTTACTGTTACAAGATTTGGATTACTGCTGGCTGAAATGCTGCCTTTAAGAAATTTCACGTCTTGTAAATTGCTGCATCTTACACAGCAAAGGCAGCTGAGAAGCAGTCTGCAAATGGGACCAATGAGAAGCAGCAAGACCCATGCATTAAAGAGACCAAGAAACCCACAGAAGCTCCCAAAAAGAAAGAGGAAATCGCCATGACAGCATCCAAAGTGGACAAACAGAAGCAAGCAAAGGACGATGCAAGAACAGCAAAAAGAGAAGATACCAAGAAGATGAATACTAAGTAAGGAATCTGATGGCGCCCGTTTTATTTGTTTGATGACTTCATTTAGCAAAGGTCCTTCCGTATCTATTTTCCGAGCACATGTTCCTCAATGTATTCATGGCAAATGTGATGCCTTACAGAATTTACTATATGGGCGCCACATGCTCTCTGACATCTTTCGATAAGAGCTATCCTGCTGTAGTATGTTGATATAAATTATAATAGCTATTCATGTTATCACGTGTAGACGAAAGACTGCTTCTAAAAAGAAAGGAAGAAGTTCAGAAGATGAAGAAGAACCTGTGGCTAAGAAGAAGAGAAGGCGAATTAGGGCGGCATTTTCTGACAGTAGTAGCAGTGAAGATGAAGGTAACGATGTTTGTTGTAGTTATTTAGTAATTTTCTATGTTGCGTAATTTAAGCTTATCTCAACTGAAAATAGGCAAGGAACCTAAGGTCATATGTCTCTTTATAGTGCTCACTGACCAAAACTATTAAAACCGAAAGGTTTCATGTAATTTGTTGGTGAAATGTGATGTGTTTTGGTCGTAGCAATGCAAGAAGAGCCACAACTTGATTTTGAAGAGGATATAGAGGAACCAGATTCCCCAGTGAAATTATCCCTACCAGCTACCGAGTCATCTGATGAGATGATACCGGACACGCCACAGCCAACAGCACCATCTGGTGGTAGCAAAAGAAGAATACATAAGAGAAAGCTGGTCAGCAAAACTGTTGTGGATGATGATGGATTTATGGGTATGATAAAACTTTATTTTAACAGAATACCATGTATTGAATTTTTGCGAATAATAATTGCTCAACTTTAGATTTAGCTAGCATTGCTTATATCATCAGGTACGTATAACAACGTCAAATAGAATACAAGAAATAGCTTGAATCAGTTGTTTTTAATTGGCACAAAAATTGTGCGTTCTTTTAGTCACTACGACTCATTGCATTTCATAACACATTAAATTTCAAATTCTGTGCCAATTGCAGTCACAGAAAAAGTATGGGAAAGCAGTTCAGAAGAGGAGGATGCATCTGTGGAGCCACCAGAGAAGAAAGTGTGTAAAACTAAAGAGGAAAAAAGTCCGGCGAAGACACAAAAGTCACCTACTAAAACTAAGCAGCCTAGCGTCATGAGTTTTTTCAAAAAGAAATAATGAACATTAGTGATATTGGTTGGTGTTTCAATTGAAAACTCAGATCTAGTGTTAGATGCCAGTACCTCTACATTACAGTTTTGTATCGAACCCTAGATTGTTACCAGCTTACGCGCTGTTACAGCTATATCGACATACTTTTGTACTGTAGCACAACTTTCCATTAATACTCTATGGCAACTATTACTTTTCTACGCAGTACGCAATCTCAAATGATACCTCACCTAACTGTTTGTCCAAAACTGTGTGATAGATATAGTAGCTCACTCCAGAGACTCCAGAGGAAATTCTTTAACATTTTTCTGCAAGGAAAACTGCCAGACAATAACTCTAGCTATTCATTCCAAGTATTTTAGCTCCGTTTAGTGGAACTCTGTTTATTTGCTTCAAGTGTTTGGAATTTCAATTTGATGAGGTGACGGTCCAGATGTTCGTGGTGGTACAAAATAAATCGTGTTTGACGGCAGTGATGGTATAGTAAATTGTCAAAGGATTAATAGATTTCATGTATGATAAGCAGTATTGTGGTAAGAAATGCATGTCTATAGACTATTAATCCACAAATGGGCTCAAGCTGTTTGTACCAATAAATTGTGTTAAAATATAAATGTTTTTATTTTCAATATGTTGTAAGTGACTAAAGTATGAAGCAATTTCAGGACTGGTAAACCAATAGTGGTCTGTCGAAATAAAATATAAACACTTATGTAAGGAATTCAACTAGCAGTATACAAGTAATATGTGAGTCATTTATAATAATGATATTCTATATGTATAGTATGTACAAGGAAACTAATGCTTTCATAATTAGACTATACAAGTTTATCTGGTTGTGGATGTCAGTCATGATCCACACTTGTATTCATAGTTCGCAATAACACGTATTTTTCACAGGAATTACGAATGTGTTTATTATGTATATATATATGTATGTGTTATGTGTATATGGAACCCTCGCTCATTTACATTTTGATGCAGTATATATATAGTTGCATTAAATCCAATTATATTACATAAATCTACACGCTTTTACTATTGAATGTAACCTCGGTCTAAGGGTGTAAATGTGTGTGTTACATGAGCTGAACAAATATATTAATCGTAAATTAAATCTACCGATATTACAGACTATAACGCCATAAATTCCATACGTCTTCTTTCATACCTTTACCACAATAGATGGCGACCCCTGGCTCAAAGCAAGCGATTTCTTAGCTCGTGCGTTAACTTATTTCTCCAGTTCCACGATATCACATTTCAACAGTTTTCCGCTAGCAGGGCCGTAGCTAACTCGGGATGTCTAGTGGGGTGGAGGATGGGGGCAAAACTACAAACGGTTAGCGTTTTTGGCAATGAATTTCGTATCTGATAGAAGAATTTCGTAGCCGATATGAGGGTCGCTGCCAAGATTGCCACCGTGCGATAGCTACGGCCCTGCGTAGTCGGCACACGGGTAGTTAGGTCAACGTGTTTGCGAACAACCTATCGATTTACAAAGCTCACGATTCATGCAATCGCGCCAAAGATGCGTTAAAACATGCATACGTAACGAATGCGTTATGCTAGATCTCCGCTAGACTGCTTGCCGGTGCAACATATCCGCCAGGCTGATCTCTTTTCGATGACACTTGATCTTTTTCCGAATTCTCTTCGCCTTCAGTGCGCTCACGAGACGCTCCATGTACTTGGGCGGGCAACGCTTTCTCCGTTTATTGCATTTCCTTTTAGTTTTTCTCAGTTTTGAATAAAACCTCACCGTCCTTTCTGCAAAAAAAAGCATCTTCCGTGTCATGTGGTAGTTCGTGAGAAAATAAAATGAATTACCTCTATGAATAAATCTATTATGGAAACATGTTGGTCTGACTAAAAAAAGTCTACAGAGTATGACTACAGAGAATGTCACAGAGAATGTCACAGAGAATATCACAGAGTATGTTTACAGAGAATGTCTACAGACTACTACAGAGAGACTTACTCTGTAGAGTGGATCCTAACAGGGAAAAATGATCGGGAGGTTTTCCCGTAGAGCTTCCTGGATGACCTCCGATCTGCTTGTGTTGGAAGCCTGAACAATTAATTAGTTTTATTAACTAAATAACCCTCAATTAACTTTTTTTTAATTAGTTCGAGTTTTAAATTAAACCCTCATGCGTCGCGAGATTCTTGCTAGGTTCACTCTAACACAGCAAGATCCGGTCAAGCACATCATCATCCCACTGAACATTGGTAACGGACGCGCGCACACATGCAAACACACACGCTGGACACATTGTACCACGCCGTACGTATTTCTCGTAATCCATGCATATTGCGACACAGCACACAGACTAAAGCGCAGCGCACATATTGTGTGCAGGCTGTATATTTAAATCTTTCACACCAAATATGCTGCGAAGGATGCCTGACGTACCCGCGCGTGATATAATTCGATTAGAGGTGAGCCCTAATACCAGCACAAACAGCTCAACGACTTCTTGGTGAAACCTCGCTTACCCTTCGTCATGTTGATGGTGTGCATCTCTAGCGAGTTGCGTGACGGAAGGAGCAGCCCTAGCTGCAGGCAGTAGCTGCCGTCACAGGCACGACTATATACTAGTACGTCGTGCCGCCTCGGCACGCATCGTAGTTTACGCGATGTCCGTTCTCTGGCAGTATTAGCAGCTGGAGCGTTCGACCTCGATCCGTTACGGGACACGACGTTGTTGTCTGAAAGATGGGCAAAGTGAGAGAGCATGAGCAACACTGTG